TATTTGTGTCAACTCTCTCTGCATCTAGTAACTTTTGGTCAGTAATAGTTAGAAGATGCTGGCACACTTATGGATAAAGTACATTGCAAAGGACTGATATTACAATTCGAGAAATAATCTTTGATGTAAGGATTGAAGTTTTGTTTACAATCTTTTGAGTTGGGTGGCCTGTATAACACAAACAGTATTTCAGTTATCTCTGTCAGGATCCCACTATGAGCTGAAGCCTGTCTTTGTCACCGTCCCATTGGATAGTGCCTCTTTCTTCGTAGCGCTTTATATTGATTGGGAATTAAAAAGAAAGACTATTTGTGTTTTGGATCTGTTGAATTTCTAGAAAACATATATTAGTTCCATTGCATTTTGGATAACTTTGTTGTTTTCTGTATTTGATCAACATCTAACAGAACATTTTCATAGTGGTACCCTTTTTCCATTTTTTCAATAGTTTTACTTCATGTTTTTACATTACACATGTCCACATGTTTCAATCCAATTTTTCTTCCTTTCTTATATGTTTGGAAATTGTGCTCATCAATGCCATTTGACAGGAGGAAAAAATTAGGGAAACCATCCAGGATGTGGGCTTTGAAGCTAAGCTGATTGATGAGGAAGTCAAGGAAAAAAACATTCTAGTATGCAGGCTGCACATAAAAGGAATGACCTGCACATCTTGTGCGAGCACAGTGGAATCCATCTTGCAAGTTGTTCCTGGTGTTCAGAGAGCTTCTGTCGCATTGGCTACTGAAGAGGCAGAAATCCGTTATGACCGTAGAATCGTTACTGCCAGTCAACTAACCCATGCAGTTGAAGAGACGGGTTTTGAAGCAATACTGATCACCACTGGAGATGATCAGAGCAGGATAGACCTCAAAGTGGATGGCACACTCAACGAGAGATCAATCATGATAGTGAAAAGCTCTGTCCAAGCTCTTCCTGGTGTGGAAGACATAAAAGTTGATCCTGAGCTCCACAAGATCACCATCTCATACAAACCTGACCAGACAGGTCCTCGAGACCTCATTGAAGTCATTGAGTCAGCTGCCTCTGGTGATCTTACTGTATCGATATACCCAGAAGCAGATGGAAGGCAGCAGCATAGACATGGGGAGATCAAGCGATACAGGCAGTCTTTCTTGTGGAGTTTAGTATTCACCATCCCGGTATTCCTCACCTCCATGGTGTTCATGTACATCCCAGGGCTGAAGGATGGGCTCGAAAAGAAGGTTATTAACATGATGAGCATTGGTGAGCTCTTGCGGTGGATTTTGTCAACGCCAGTTCAATTTGTAATTGGCCGCAGATTTTATACTGGTGCTTATAAAGCGTTATCCCACGGCTCATCAAACATGGATGTACTCATTGCTCTTGGGACCAACACAGCTTACTTCTACTCAGTTTACTCCATCCTCCGAGCTGCCTCCTCACATAATTACATGGCAACTGATTTTTTTGAAACTAGTTCAATGCTCATATCGTTTATCCTTCTTGGAAAGTACCTTGAGATCTTGGCAAAAGGGAAGACCTCTGAGGCTATTGCCAAGCTTATGGATCTTGCACCAGAAACTGCAACTATGTTGATATATGATCATGAAGGGAATGTTGTGGGCGAGAAGGAAATTGACAGTAGGTTGATTCAGAAAAATGATGTGATCAAAGTAGTCCCAGGTGGGAAAGTTGCTTCTGATGGCTTTGTTATATGGGGACAGAGCCATGTGAATGAAAGCATGATCACCGGAGAATCACGACCTGTGGCAAAGAGGAAGGGTGACACTGTCATAGGAGGGACGGTGAATGAGAATGGTGTGCTTCATGTCCGTGCAACATTTGTTGGATCAGAGAGTGCCCTTGCACAGATTGTACGGCTAGTAGAGTCAGCGCAAATGGCAAAAGCTCCTGTACAAAAGTTTGCTGATCAGATATCTAGAGTCTTTGTTCCCCTGGTAAGTTCAGTTTCATCGTGGTAATTCAACGGATATCATTTCTTATCAATTCTAAATAGTCTTCTTCATCCTTTCAGGTCATCATTCTTTCTTTGCTTACTTGGCTTGCTTGGTTCTTAGCTGGGAGGCTTCATGGTTACCCTAACTCATGGATACCATCTTCCATGGATAGCTTTCAACTAGCTCTCCAATTCGGGATATCAGTTATGGTTATTGCATGCCCTTGCGCCTTAGGGCTTGCAACTCCAACAGCTGTGATGGTTGCTACTGGAGTTGGTGCCTCACAAGGAGTTCTTATCAAGGGTGGGCAAGCTCTGGAGAGTGCACAGAAGGTCCATAAAAAAACATTGTACTTTTAGATGCACATGTTTGCAAACATCAAATTATTGACAAATTTTTTATGGCATTTATAGGTCGACTGCATCGTTTTCGACAAGACAGGGACACTAACCATTGGGAAGCCTGTTGTGGTCAACACAAGACTGTTAAAAAACATGGTCTTGCGTGAATTCTATGCTTACGTTGCAGCAGCAGAGGTATGCTTTCAAGCTTGCTAGATCTTTTTGATTCAATGCCTTTATTACTTGTAGCAAAATATCATTCCTTTGTGATATATGAAAAGGTTGGTTGAGGGCATAGATGTATGCCTAGACCCACCCAAGTTCAAGTCCTCATCGAGGCGAATTCGGATGCCTATTTCTTCTTAATTAATTAAAAATGTCACCTAGTTCCTCCTAGGTTGGTTAAGGTTCTTTTGTTGTGATTTGTAAAAAGAAACATTGCTCAAATTTTATCGGTTCTGGTCTTCAGGTCAACAGTGAGCACCCACTGGGTAAGGCAGTCGTGGAGCATGCCAAGAAGTTCCATTCGGAAGAGAGCCATGTCTGGACTGAAGCAAGGGATTTCATTTCAGTGACAGGGCACGGTGTCAAGGCAAAAATAAGTGGCAGGGCTGTTATGGTGGGAAACAAGAGCTTTATGTTGACTTCAGGCATTGATATCCCGGTGGAAGCTTTGGAAATCCTAACGGAAGAAGAGGAGAAGGCCCAAACAGCGATCATTGTGGCTATGGATCAAGAAGTCGTGGGCATTATCTCTGTATCTGATCCAATAAAACCAAATGCCCGCGAAGTGATTTCGTATCTCAAATCTATGAAGGTGGAGAGTATAATGGTGACTGGGGACAACTGGGGGACTGCCAATGCCATTAGCAAAGAGGTTGGCATTGAGAACACAGTTGCAGAAGCGAAACCAGAGCAGAAAGCTGAGAAGGTGAAAGAACTTCAGGTGAGCTATCATAAAATCTTTTGCATGTCTCCTGGTTTTTTTTGCCGTACCGTTATTTGGTTATTCACACCCTCCGATTTTTTTTTACTCTTGCAGTCGGCCGGAAGGACCGTGGCAATGGTTGGTGATGGAATCAACGATTCTCCAGCGCTTGTATCAGCCGACGTTGGCCTGGCGATTGGCGCAGGCACTGACGTCGCCATTGAAGCGGCCGACATCGTCCTCATGAAGAGCAACCTGGAAGACGTGATCACCGCCATCGATCTGTCCAGAAAAACCTTCTTCCGCATACGGATGAACTACGTCTGGGCGCTCGGCTACAACATCATCGGCATACCGATCGCTGCCGGGGTGCTCTTCCCGTCGACCCGGTTCCGCTTGCCGCCATGGGTCGCCGGCGCTGCGATGGCTGCTTCCTCCGTTAGCGTCGTCTGCTGGTCCCTGCTGTTGAGGTACTACAAGAGCCCAAAACTGGGCCGTTGATCATGCAGTACACACGCATAGCATTTGCTTAGAATAAGAGGTGTAGATATCTGTTGACAATGTGCTAATGTGGTTCTAAAAGAAATGTGCTAGTGTGTGTTGTGTGGCACCTGAAATGTGTACATTACCTACGTATATATGCACCGTGTGTTTACAAGTGTTAAATATGGAGCACTTTGCCAACACTAGCAGGTGATACGTTGTAGTGCAATCCATCTAATCTTGGCACTTCCTAACAATGGAGGGGACAGGTCGTCAATCTCAAAAGCAGAAATGCTAATGCTTCGTGATGATGCCGGGTTTCCCGTGCAACTTGGTAATCGACGTTGGTAGTTACCTAACTCTTTTTCTGGGTGGCATCATAGTAACCTAACTAAGCAGTTTAGCACGCAACGCGCAATTGAGCACACTTCGAACCAAAAGATGCCCTGAACTTTACTACTACTACCTACGTGGCTCGCAGTGGGAACATTTGGTATCTGAGCTGAAACTTTGCATGGGAATTTGGGATAATTTGGCCACTTGCATTCTGAGCTGAAAGATAGTGCTCCGACTAGGGCAGTGGAGCTATCTTGCCGAGAGCAGGCAAACACAACTGGTTCAGTCTTCAGCTTAGCTACCTATACACCTTCGCTCTTGTGGCCGATCATTGTCAAGGGCCATAACCCAGCCACCGAATTAAGGCTTCTACCTGATCCACTGACCTCATTGCACTTGATGATAGTATACGATCATACGACTCTGGAAAACATGCTCGATGGCTATCGGTTGCATTATTGAATTTGTTGCTTGATCCGCCCCATGAACAACAGTAACCCATCATAAACATTGGGACCTGTAGTGAGTTTTTATGGGCTCCATAGCCTGTTAAAGCAAAAGGTTACTTTAGATCCTTAAATAAAGGTCTCTCAACCACAAATCTAGATATAAAATAACCCTAACTATTAAAGCCAATACAAATTTAATCCCTCAGTGAGAGATCGAGCAGGAATTCCTAACGGCGGTGACACCGAGCTAGGATATCCCCTCTCTTCAAAGTCGCTGCAGCTCAGGGTAGGTGTGCTATACGCTGTTGGGAAGAGAGAGGGCGAGGGAGTTTAGGCTTTTTTTTTATAATGTGAATGACATGTGGATCTTATATTTTTAAAAGTTTTAATGTACCATTATTACTAACATATAGGTCCCATTATATATTTATTTTTATTATTTTTTTCAGATGGTGTCACACATAAACTCCACGTCAAACAAAGACTAAGTCAACGTGTTATGTAGGACAAAACAACCATCTAAAAAGATCAAGAGACTTGATTTGTATAGGTTTTGCTAGTTGGGCTACGCATTATAGCTGGTTTTACAATTGAGGGATACGATTCAAAACTCGACTCCTAGACAAAGGACCTACAATTGGACGTTATCCCCTGTTAAAAGGCACACGGCTAGACCAGACCAGACCACCTACGTTGATCGTTCATCGTGTCCGAAGCCTAATAAAGCCCAAACAAAGGATTTTCGGCCCAGCACAGCCTAGCTCCACATAGGAGAAAGTACACCCAAGGTCCCTCAACTTGTCATCTAATTACAAAATCGTCCCCCAACCGCAAAACCGCACACAAGGCATCCATCAACTTACAAAACCATTGTAGACTAGATCACTCGGCGGTTTTAACCCTGGTTTTGTCCGAAGTGGTGGCTGAGTCAGCGTGAGACCCATGTGGGACCCACATGTCATTGAAACATTAGTCTATTTTCCCACACTTCTTTCTATCCCCTCCCTTCCAAGCAGATCGGCAACGGCGTGGGGAGCGGCCGTCCGGCCGGCGGAGCGGGCAGGCGACGGCGCGGGGAGCGGCCGGGCGGCGGGTGCTCGTCCTCCTGGTCATCGAGGCCAGTGGCCGGCATGCTGGTCGGCAACGGGCGCAAGCACCAGGCTCTGACGACGAGGTTCTCCAAGACGGGCGCTTGTCCCCCCGGTCTGCGGCGAAACGGCATTCGGCATGGCGGACGAAGGCGGCGCAACATCCGGGTGGGGGAGAAGCGAGCGGAGGAGGGTGGCGGCGATGAAGCGGTGGAGGGCGGCGGCGTCCCTCCCCCTGGTGGCGATGGAGACCCAGCGGCCCTTCCACAGGCGGCGCAATGCACGGTCATCGGCACCACCATATGCCGGCCGTTCTTGTGCTGCCGCCACCGCCAAGCCGACACCGACGCCGGCGGCGAGCGCGGGGAGGCGTTGACCGAGCTGGAGGAGGACGACAAGATGGCGCGCGGCGCTGGAGGACTCCTCATGCGCCGTTTGCCGCTTCCTCCACTCCGCCGCCCTGCTCCTCGTCGCCGGCCGCTCCATCCCTAAGGAGCTCTCCCCCTCGCCTCCTCTGTGACCCCCCCCCTTCGAGTTCATCGCCAACGACCGTGGCCACCCCACCTCCTCCATTCCACGCGGTGGAGCTCGCCGACGACTGATTTGGACTTGGGAGGAGCTCGCCGGCCTCCCCGCGCCTCCTCTGGGCCCTCGCCTTCGAACTCATCGCCGACGACCGCGGCCACCCCGCCTCCTCTCTTTCCACGCGGTGGAGCTCGCCGGCGATGAACGATTTGGACTTGGGAGGAGCTCACCGGCCTCTCCGCGCCTCCGCCGTGCCTCCACTCTCGCTCGTTCGCTGGCCTCCGCCGTGCCTCTGCCGATGCTCAAGGGGAGAAATGGGAGAGAGAGAGAGAGAGGAGTAACGGAGGGGAGGGAGAAGAGAAAGGGTGTTGACGTGGCATCCTGACATGTGGGGTCCACATGGGTCCCACATTGACTCAGCCACCACATCGGACAAAACCGTGGTCAAAACCACCGAGGGATTTTGCAATGGTTTTGTAAGTTGGGGATGCGTTGTATCCAGTTTTGCAGTTGGGGGACGATTTTGTAATTCGATAACAAGTTGAGGGACCTTGGGTGTACTTTTTCCCTCCACATACGATATTCGTGTTGCGGCCCATGAGGCCATAGACCATCAGTTACCCCAGCCCGACCCATCGTGCTGCAAGCCTTTGCAACCATCGACAGTTGAGCAGGCCCCCCAAACGCGATGGGCGTGGGCCGCGTGGCGATAATGTGTGCGCCCCGCTCCCCTCATATCCGTGTCCGTGCACGAGTGAACAACCCAACCCAACCGATGCGCGACGCAGTGACGCAGGCACAGCGAGTTGACCGGCCGCGCCACGTACGGTTGGTTCCTCCTCCCAACACGCGGCGGGACCCGTCTCCACGAGCCGCCGTTCCCTAGAACGCGGCGGCAACGAGCATCCTCCTCCGCGTGGGCCACACGCTGCGTTTACAAGCGTTCACACCTTCGGCCTGGCCTTTTTTATACTCCCCCCCTTCCCCAAGGTGATCACGTCTCGTCTCTGTCTCTCGGCCCACCGCTTCCATCGTTCGTCCTCGTCTCCACGCTACCGTTTCGCAACCACCCGCTTCCTCCTCCGGAGACCGCTCGGCCGCCGCTCGCTCCAGCATGGCCGCCGCGCCGTCCGCCACCTCCGTCCACGACTTCACCGTCAAGGTCAGTTCCTCCTCTCGGTCGGCGGCGCTCCCTTCTCGAAGGGATCTGTCCTGCAGTGATTGGGATGGGCTTTCCAAAACCCGAACCCGCTCGAGCAGTCGAGCCGTGCGTACTTTGGGGGGTGGGTGGGGGGGGGGTGCCTGTAATCCGGGGTGGTGCTTGACGTGAATTTGTTGAGCAGTAGTAATTGGGTGTTTCACCGAATTTCTTAGCTTGTTTTGCTTGGTGCGAGGGCGTGCAGGATGCAAGCGGAAAAGACGTGAACCTGAGCACCTACAAGGGGAAGGTTCTCCTCATCGTTAACGTCGCATCCCAATGGTACTTAATTCACTTCATTACGCCCCCCATTTTATGATGGAATTTTACTACTACACCGTCTACACATCAACAGGTTGATGTAGGATTGTTTTAGCGGAATGGCTAGCTAGAAAACTTCCGCAAGTTTTTTTTTCCCCCAAAACTTTCAGATTTGTTGTCTTTTGCCAAAGAGAATAATAAACTGCTGCAAAACAGAATATCACTAGCAGATTCAGAGCATCCCCAGCCCTGTTGAGCAGTTGAACTGAACCGGTCCCATATGAATCATGCAAATATCATGATACAAGCACAGCTCATTAACTCATTAACTCGTATTGTGAACTGCGATACTGTCTTTGTTTGGTCTACTGCAAAGATGGTCCAAATCAATAGGTCCACTGCTGCTTATTTTATGGAACCGTTTTCTGCATAATTGTCCTTATCTGACGTAGGCAGCTCTATATATATTTTTTTATCTATATGGAACCATTTCACCTTACACCGCTAAGCATTTTCTTCGACCAATTATTTCAGTGGCTTAACTAACTCCAACTACACTGAGCTGAGCCAGCTGTATGAGAAGTACAAGGTCCAAGGTGTGTCTTTGACCCGTTGCCTTTGTATATCTTTGTATATTGTAATTGCCTTTGCATATTGTACTCCTTCACCATGGAAGTTGGAATAATTATCTAGTTCATGGTCACATGGATCATTAAGCTTTAGTTATTATATGTGCTAGTAGTTCTTCACTTTAAACAATTCCGGTTGTTGTGGTTCAAACCGCTAAGGAATATTACCAATGTGTGATTTGTAGGCTTTGAGATATTGGCTTTCCCGTGCAATCAGTTTGGAGGGCAGGAACCCGGCTCCAATGAGGAGATTGTCCAGTTTGCTTGCACTCGCTTCAAGGCTGAGTATCCCATTTTTGACAAGGTAAGTTAACGCAATACTTTTAACTCAATCAGAGTAATTATCAGTGTGAAGCAAAATGATATAAGTCACATGTTTTATCTATCGAAGAGGTGTTTCTGTGGAGTAGCATTGAGTCTCTTTTTTTTTTATCTGTCAGGTTGATGTCAACGGTAACAATGCTGCACCCCTGTACAAGTATCTGAAGTCTAACAAAGGTGGGCTTTTCGGTGATAGCATCAAGTGGAACTTCTCCAAATTCTTGGTTGACAAGGAGGGTCGCGTGGTGGATCGCTATGCGCCCACCACCTCCCCTCTTAGTATTGAGGTAATGTCCTGCACTACCACTTGCAATCTCTTTCTACAGGCTGAATTGTTAGGCTCTCATTATAACATTTCCATACTATCTCTGCAGAAGGATATCAAGAAGCTGCTTGGGAGCTCTTAAACCTAAAGGTCGGGATCTGTAGAGCAACCTGCACTTATGCACTGTATTCAGCACTGAGAGTTGTATTAATAAATTGGTGACATGTACTTCACAGGTTGCATTTGCACTATACTCCTTGCATCCTGAATCTTTATTGTACTCTGTACCTGTATAGTTTTCATGTCAATAAATTTCCTTGCTGTATCTGTGTGTATGCATCTCATTGGATCCTTTGTCGGCGTGCACTGTATTGTTCGTTTATTAAGATAGATTCGGCCAAATAAACATGCAAGTATGCATTTGAGCTGTCCCAACCATGGCAAGCACAAGAAGTTGCATGGGGGGATGCCTTGGTCATGCGTTCCAACAGTTTAAGATGAATCAGAGCATACTAATGGCATTGATGAACACAATCTTTCCCTAACTTTTTCCTCCTGTCAAATGGTATTACCTTGATCAATGTCATCAATGCCACAAGGATGCTCAGAAAAAATTTGATTTGTTAGATGCATTTCATAATCCTGTGTTTGTCTTAAATATGACTCCATACAAATTTCCTGGACATGCTTCTGAATAAGCTTACTATGTGTAAGTGATCCATTTTTTTCTGACATTATTAGTTTAGTACTCCCTTCGTTTTTTAATAGATGACGCCGTTGACTTTTTCTCACATGTTTGACAACTCGTCTTATTCAAAAATTTTATGCAAATGTATAAGATATAAATCACACTTAAAGTACTATGAGTGATAAAACAACTCATAAAAAAATAAATTATAATTACGTAAATTTTTGAATAAGACGAATAGTCAAACATGCGAGAAAGTCAACGGCGTCATCTATTAAAAAACGGAGGTAGTATTACTTTTCATGTGTAAAACAATGCCCACTCCGCAGGTACCATTCCCTCTACAAAATTTATCAGTGTAAAGCTATCTCCATATGTACTCCCTCCGTCCCATAAAATACTAACCTAGAATGAGATGTGACGTTTCCTAGTTTGGTTTTTTTTTTATGAACGGAAGGAGTAGTGCGCTAACCTTTGGTCAGGTCAACTAGCTTATGTCTCATGTGCGATTCTAACCATCCTATAATGTGCTATCAATAATAAGTTTTAAAAGAAGTTATGTTGTTTTAAGAAACATGTTTATCTTGTGGACAGTTTAAAAGAAGTAACATAAATAATTGTGACTATTATCTGGCTTTTTACGGGAAACGTTGTAATGTATATCAATTATAATAGCCATGTATGCTAAAATTTAATGAGATAAATAAAGCTATAAATTAAATTTAATCTTATTTAAATATATAGTTTAGAATTTTGCCCTAAAAATAAGCACGCAAGTTTTCTTCTCTATTTATTGGTTACATGGTACAATTATAAATGATGATTGGGGAGAGAATAATGCCATAGATTGAGAAATCAAACTTTTCAAGGTGTTGAATGTAAATATGTGAGAATGAATGGGTACTTTTGCAAATATTTTCACTGATCATCGGAGTGCACTGTCCTTCCCGAGACTTCAGGAGAGACCATATAATTTCCACATATCCTTCATCGTACGGTTACGATTCATTCTAGTGTTGTTTTTATCTGCTTTTCAATCACAGTCATCATGCACCACATGGCGTGGCTCTTTCCGTTTCCATGATCAGATTGTATTTTCACTTTGGCATGTCAATGCCGCAATGCCTAAGCTTTATGGATGCGGCTTCCCTGTTCCCAATTTGCTGTTCCCTTCCCTGTTCCTTCGAGGTGCATGCAAATATATAGAGAGATATATGACACCATAGTTAATTTTTTCCCCATCGGATCTTTTTTTTCCCGATCGGATCTTTTTTTAGTACCTAACTATTATAATAAGTGGCTTAAATCACGTTATTTCCAATTAATTTACTACTAATACAAGACATGTTGTTTGTATGAGGAGCACACACTGTGCTGAGGTCCATCAGAAGTTCTAACAATCGTCTTGTGACACCTGAAAGGAACAGGGAAGCGAACAGCAAATTGGGAACAGGAAGCCGCATCCAAACCTTCAATGCCAGAACTTGAGGCAGAAGTGAAAAGGGCACATCAGACACTGCATTAACAGGATAGCTTGATCCTTTCAACTCAGGCTCTGTGTAGTTCCCAAAAGAAAATTTTTTACACTGACAAATTGAATATTTGGACACATACATGGAGTATTAACAATTACATAGATTACGTGTAAATTGCGAGACGAATCTTTTAAGCCTAATTGCGCCATGATTTGACAATGTGCTGCTACAATAAACATTTGCTAATGATGGATTAATTAGTAGGGGTGAAAACGGATCGGATTCGGGTGGATAGTAGTCATACCATATCCTATACCATATTTTTTAATCGGATTCGGAGGCGGTGCGGATAATGTGCGGATGCGGATGCGGAGCGGATTATTTTGGATGTCGGAAATGGTGCGGAGTCGGTGCGGACTCGGCTCGGAAACGGATAAAAATAATCGGATGTGGCATGTATATACAATCGATACAACATCTGATCATCTGTACAATGAGCAACAATGACTCACAATTCACATGACTCATGAAAGCACCGATCACATCATAATATAATGTCAAGTTGTTAACGATTGACTTGTCTTCTGTCCATGTAATCGACACATATAGTATTGACATCATGATATATCGCATTCACATAACACGTAAGACATAGAAATTCCACAAATATTAGAAAAAACAATATCACATGACATGGGTGATAGAACATTGGAGGTCCACAAATGATGTCCAATTCTCATACAGTACTACTAATAAGTTGCATATTGCATATGACATAATAACACATATGCAGCTAAGGTCAGAAGGAGATGATCTAGAGAAGTAGACTTCAATTCTGATAATAACACATACGACAGAGTTGGTGCTGGAGATGGCAGGAGGCGTCGCCGGCGCCGAGACGGAGACAACCAGGTGACTTTGGGGTGGAGAAGGTAGGCCGCGGCGCCGGGGTGGAGAAGGCAGGTGGCGGCGGTGGCGCTGGGTGGAGAAGTCAGGCGGCGGCGTGGGAGGAATGGAAGAAGAGAAGTCTCGATGAAAAAATTGGTTGACACGACGCCGACGGAGTCACGGACTGAACTCCTAGATAGATTGATGGATAAGGTGGACGTGGATGGGCTGAATGTTTACACGATGAAAATGCTCGTGTCAAATGGGCCAAATTGAGAGGTTATATGGGCTGTGAAATTCGGATTATCCGCCAAAACGTTTATCGGATAATCCGCTTAAAATAGCGGATAATCCATATCCGCCGGATATAACCGATACCATATCCGCATCCGCATCCGCATCCGGCCGGATATCTAAAAACCCTTACCATATCCTCACTTCGGACGGATTCGGAGCGGATAATATCCGTTTCGTTTTCACCCCTATTAATTAGGCTTAATAAATTTGTCTCGCAGTTTCCTTACGGAATATGTAATTTGTTTTGTTACTAGATTACGTTTAATACTTTAAATATATACCGTATATCCGATGTGACAAACAAACCCAAAAATTTTCCCCAACTAAACAAGGCCTCAGTAAGTTTACTTCATGATCTGCCCCCAACTAAACAGGGCCACTAAATTGATCGAGCAGTGGCTGACATGGAAGCCTGCTGCTGCTCCTATGGCCGGAATGGCGACGTGGCCAGATGGGCCTTGAGATATAAGATGGTGGCCTGGCCCAATGGCAAAGCCAATTGGATTACCAGAACAGAATCATCAATTCCAACGTGGCAATCTCGGTACGTGATTACCTCGTGATGTAAGCAACGAAGTCATCCAGGTCTTTGCGCGACGACCGACGAGCCGGCGGCGGCCACGGAGGCGCGGATGGCATCTCCGAGCTCCCGTGCACGTTGTCGCATGGCTACTCCTCCGTTAGAAAGCATGGCCTCCTCGATGGCTTCCTGGATGTCCTTCGCCGGCGTGACCTCGTTGTGCTTCTCCCATGGCCGCACGAGGACGCCGGCCTTGAGGTACTTGCAGAGGAGCTCGGCGTCCCATGGCTGGTCGCAGTGCATGGGCCAGGCAAGAATCAGCTACCCGTGGCTCAGGCTCTCCATGGTGGAGTTCCAGCCGCAGTGGCTCATGAACGCCGCCGTGGCGTCGTGCGCCAGGATCTCCAGCTGCGGCGCCCACCCGGTGATCACCAGCCCCGTACTCCCTTCGTTGTGCTGCGTGAACTCGCGCAGCAGCTTCGCGTGGCGGCTGATGATCTCGCCGGAGTCCTCCGCGAATATGTCTCCGCGGTCGGCGTCCCGCAACACCCAGATGAACCGCTGATTGCTGCCGCGCAGCGCCGATGCGAGCTCTTCGATTTGCTCCGCTCGCAGCGACGATGTCGTGCCGAAGGAGACGTACAGCACCGACGCAGGGGGCTGCTTGTCGAGCCAGTCCAGGCACTCGTGGCGCTGCCGCTGGTCGCCCTGCTTCGACGCGTTCCCGTGCAGCAGTGGGTTCAACGGTCCGACGGCGAAAACCTTCTTGCCGTCGGCGGCCAGGTTCCCCGCGACGACGTCGATGAACTCGCCCTCGAGCGCGCGACACGTGTTGGTCAGGATACCTCTGGGAGGCGACATCTCCTTGGTCGCCCTCGTCCGTCTGATGTAATCCACGAACTCCTCCGTTGCACAGTCTTCCACGGTGATGTTGGTGAGGCCGTTCTCGCGCAGGATCCGTTGGTGCTCCTGGGGAGCAATCCTCCTAGCGAGCATCGACACGGCCAAGCAGTACATGACGAACGCCTCGCCGTTGCGCAGCCGCGCCGCCTCCTGTGCGGCGAAGTCGTTGATGCGGTCGTACACGACGACGACGCGGCGGTAGGAGGCGGAGAGCTTGTCGAGGAGAGCCGCGAGCGGGGCGGGCGCGCCGGCGGTGTAGGCTTCCCAGAGGGGCATGAGGTGGGAGGGGAAGGGCGAGGCGGCGGCGGGGTCGGGAGGCGGTGAGGCGTACGTGGAGATGCCGAGGTCGTGGAACCGGACGGAGCGGAGCGCCGCGTCGTCCCCGCCCTGCACCCGCTCGCGGGCCTGGCGGACGTGAGCCGCGGGCGCCGCGTAGTGCACGTCCACCCCGCCGCGCGAGGCGAGCTGCAGCGACAGGTGCAGGAGCTGGTTGAGGTGGCCCTGCGCCGGGAACGGCACCGCCACGACGGCCACCGGCTCCATTGTAGGCTCGATGACTGTGCTCAACCTTGATGGGCAGA